GAAGAAAAACTAGCACTGTATACTTCGTATACATTGATTTTGGTGTTCGGTATGGACAATTGGTGATTGAATAGAATATGATAAAATGACAAATGGTCAAAGGTTGGAAGAAAAAGGCCATTTGAAAGCGGGCAGTGCCATATGAACATGGCCACATAGCCCTGTTTTTCCAGGGTTTGTGGCCTTGTTTGAGAAGATTTATCCTTTGAAAGGCCCTGTTTGAGAAGATTTATTCTTTGAGCGCAAATAGTTTGAAAAGGGGTCTAATCTTCAACTTGTTCCTTTATGTTTAGTAATTTTTTACTAGTTCAAATATAAAAACAACACAAACAAATTGGTTTGTCAGTCCGTTATACAAAAGTTAGCCCTTGTTTGGTAGAGATTAAAATCGAATTTTTAGTAAATTTTGATAAAAGTTGATGAAATATGTAGTTGAAAAATTGTAGGTTACATGAAATATGCGGTTAAATTTGGCTATACATAGATAAATTAATAGAACTAGTGCATAATTAGTACGTAGGGTACTAAATAGCCTTGTACAACCTGTAAAACACGATTTCATGTAGTGTGTTCACTAATCATCTGAATTCTTATATTCTATTACAATGTTAAGTCCCTATTTGATTTAGCTAAAAATCAGATTGATAAAAATTGATTAAAATTGTGAGTATCATAAAATGTGTGATTAAAATTAATTATTGATTTCAAATTAAATTTTTTTTTCATAGCTAAATCAAATAGAGATTATAAATTAACCAAAAAAAATCATTTTTTTTTTTAAATTTCTTCTATTTCATGGTTTTCGGTATCATATCCATAATTAATGCATTCATTATAGTTAGTTGTTCCAGTTCCGTTTACAATCAACATCTTTCGGAGTTTTTATCAAACGAATACAATTATATTTCGGATCCTTTTAATTTTAATTTTTCCTCTTTGTTTTCTTTTTATCAAATCGGCTGAGCTGCAGTATAATTCCTAATGTTTCAAAGTCATTGGTTCGCAACAATTAAAGAATAAAAAGAAAAATAAGAGAATAACAAGTAAAGACCAAAATTAAAATTTAAAATAGTATTATATTAAATTGATATTTGCGAACAAATTTTGACAATATTACTCAGGTATAGTCACGAGCACAGGTCGCCAAGCCCTCCTAAGCAATCGACGCCGAAACAGAGCCGATACCGGCCTTCGGGACCGAGCACCGTCTCTCCTCCTCGCACCACCACCACATGGCGGTAAAATTTCTTCTTCTTTCACATTGTCCGAAACCCTCTCATCAAATGCCGGCGGAGAGGACGCAAATAGGTCCTTAAGCTTATGGCTGAAAAAATTCTTCTTACTCTTTTCCGTCGATAACCTGTCGTTCCTTTTCACCCGTTGATCCAAAGACCAATCTTCATGTTGGACCGGCAGCCTCCTCCCACCACCCGCACCGTGGCTGAGAAGCATCCGCAGCGTTTTTCTCCTGCGAAGGTGCATAACTGGGCTCATCGTTGGATTTCTGGCTACCACACACTCAGTAGCCAGCAGCTTGAATTTGTGAAGGCTCGGCATTATAATTTAACGGGTTTGCAGTATTGCTCTGGGCATGTTCTGATGAGGAATGGGTACACCTAAATTAATCCGTGTATATAAAGCTATATAAACTGTGTATGTACATGTGGAAAATGCGGCATTGGAGTGAGGACAAAGGTGAAAGGTCATTCGGCCGGCAGACGGCTAAGTAGAAATGAATGTTTAATTGCTTATAAGTAATTTGAGTTCCGTTAAAGCAAGGTTTTCATTTTGCATCCATGTAAGTAATTTTATAAATAAAGTAAGAATGATTAAATAAATAGGTTTAATCTATATGAGAGAATACAAATGGAGTGCAAAAGTTCAAAAGAAAAACAAAAATACCGGCGTTTGTTGTGTTATAGGTGTAATTTTTACAAATATTCGAACTATCGAAAGTGGATACGTGAAAGTTACTTTGACAAATTTACTGCTTAATTTGGTAAAATATCGATTATTGTATGATCTACTCTAATTTGAATGACTTTGGATAAAAAGAAGCGAAAATCGATTAAAGAAGGGTGAAACATAGATTTAACCCAATTATATTTGGCTCTATAAATATGTACCTCCATCCGAAAATTAGAGAGAGCTCTCTTACAATTTAATACACTATTTTCTTGCAATCAAGAAAGGTCAACAATCATTCTTTCAAAGAAAATTATGAGGCAAGGTATAAAAAATATCGATTATTGTATGATCTACTCTAATTTGAATGACTTTGGATAAAAAGAAGCGAAAATCGATTAAAGAAGGGTGAAACATAGATTTAACCCAATTATATTTGGCTCTATAAATATGTACCTCCATCCGAAAATTAGAGAGAGCTCTCTTACAATTTAATACACTATTTTCTTGCAATCAAGAAAGGTCAACAATCATTCTTTCAAAGAAAATTATGAGGCAAGGTATAATGAATCCATTCTTTAAAATTATTTCTTGGTTCTCCGGCAACGAAGAAGAATGTGCATTTGAAAAGATTCAAGAATTCGGGGTTTCATGTGACTTTGTGATGCTATGCTAAACTTTTAGTCGCTAGGACATAGGTGAACATTTTATTATGATGTTTCATTATTAATTTCAAGGCTTTGACGTTATATGTTTGTTTGTCTTGGATGATTGTCATAAAATAATTAATTAGCTACTAAATAAATTCTTGTACAATTTATTGTATTCGAGAAAAATAATAAGGAATATAATACATTATAACAATTGTGGTGGAGTGATAAAGATATATCTTACATGATTTAGACCAATTAATCAATATTCGATTGATTGGTCTGAGGTTATCGACACTAAGCCACTTCGTTTCTTTTTGTCCAAGTCACTTCAAATTCAATGAGGATTTGTTCATTCGACACGTACACGTCATGGACATCCTGCCTTTCTATGTCTATAAAGTTCATGAATTGGAGATAAGCGAACTCGAACCGCTAACATCCGCCGCAGGGTAAACCACTACCTTCCATGGAGCTAAGGTCCAAATTATAGAAGAAAGAAGCGTTTCCACAACTTTACCACCTAGTCAATTTTGTCAAATATTCTCACTATATTGATACATTATTTCACGTTCGTATCTTTTATAGAGTTATGAAAAGGTCATATATGATATGTTTTATTCTATTTGAGAAATTGTTAAACAAAATGTGAACGTTAACCAACAAGAATAAATAAACATTTCATGTTATTGAATTGTATTAAAATAAATTAATAAAGGGAGATCTTTAGCCTTGGTTTGATCTTCATTATTTTCAAAATATATTTGTCTCCGTCTTATTTTTAATCAAATATTTTTCAATAATTAATATTACACGTAAATTCAAAACTTTTCTTTATTTTTTAATCACACATTCTCCATTAAATCACTATTCCCAAATGAATTTTTGAGAAAAAAAAATGGGGCTCAATTTGGCTCTTAAACTCTTTCTTAATTAGTTGTTTATTAGAATAGTTAATTTGATGACTTGCAATAAAATCAAAATCCATAAATTGACAAATCAAGTGGAGTTAGTATCAATCAGAATTAGATTAAATACATAGTCATCATAGAATTACTTTATTACTCGACTACGACAAAATTTTGTTATTCACTGTGTAACGTATTAATTGATCTACCATAATACAATGGTCGATACTAACTAATAAATAATACCATAAATATTAACAAATTAAATAATACAGTAACACTACGAAAAAATAATACAATACGAACTAATTAAAGACACTAACAAATAAATAATACAATAAAACACTACGAAATTAAAGACAAATATCAATAATACGAGATACTAAACCGTTGCTATTGAGTCTTTCAGAGCCAACGTGGGGTTAAAAGAATTCTATTTGAAACTTTACGTTCTCAAATTGTTAAATATTAAATTCGATTACTGTTCCGTGCGACGGCCGGCAGTCGACAATTATAAAGGGATGTGCTTTTGATAAAATTACGAAAATTGTGTTAAAGATACAAATTTTGCATCATGTCGTCATCTAAGTAGAAAATATTAATTTAATATAAAAAAAAAGTTTATAATATTCCTCTCAATAAAATTGATTTTTAAGATAGAATCAACAATGAAATTAGACACATTTTCTTGTGGTTCAAATTTTTAGGTTTCAAAATTTTTATGCAACAATATAACATTGAAAATTAAAAAAAAAATCTAATAGAATATAAAAAATAAACTATTTAACAAAAATCATTCATACTATGTAAGTGAAGAATTAAAATTTTTTTTTTTTTTACACTAGTATTTTCTATAGTTTATAACAATTAAGTTATTGGTTAATCTGTTAAGTGGAACTGTGTAACCAAATGGCATTATTATTAGCAGTATTCTAAAAAGCGTAAATGCATGATAATGTGTGAAGATCAAGCTTTGGGCAACATAAGCCTAGGCGAGATCTAAGCATTAAAAAAAAAAAAAAGATTTCTTATCTTAATATTATTTTAACTTTTCAAAATCCAAAAATCATTTAATAATTAAAATAATAAATATCAAATACTTAGAATAGATTTATAGGAACCTTATACATTTTTTTAAGCTTTCAACAGAAAGATAAATTTTAAAATTATAATTACATAATGTAGATTGGGAGTTTAAATATTATCTAACTATTTATTGGACTCTAATTCAATATCATCTTTCTTATCTAGTTCATCAAATTCGTGTCGTCTGACACAAGATTAGCTTCTTAAGAATTATATATGTGTGTGTGCGCGCGCGCGCACTCGATCAACGCTGTCATTGACCGCTTATTTAGGGCGAGGTCCTAATTGTGGCATTTTTGCCCCGCCTCGCACATTGTTGTGCGCCATTTTGAATATTGATAAACAATGTAAGATAAATTGTGGTTAAAAAATGTGTGCACATGAAACATGATTAGAGCAAAAAACTTTTTGAAATTCAGTTATACTAAATGTACATGAAATTATTTGACATTTTTTAATTTGGTAGGTGTAATAACCATTGATTTTAAGATATTTTCCACTGTGACGCCCCGAACTTAAGCTTCGAGGCGTCACAGTGTGGTATCAGAGCAGTTATGCTTTCTGTAGACTATATTTAAAAAAAAAAAAAAAGGTTACTGTCCTTCATCATCGAGTAAGCTAGCAACTGACTTTCAACCGACGATCAAGGTAAAAACTTCTTTTTAAAGTTTATGAGTTTTCTTATACAATGAACTGCTATATCTATGGCCGGATATAGGAATAATTTGAATCAAGTCATGGTTGAGATTATGAAGTCATAACCACTTATATCTAAATATTTATTAGAGTTTTGTAGAGTAACATAATCAATTTTTGTCCTAGTTATGGCACGAACGGTAAGAACTCCCACAAGGACAGAAGCCTGTGGTTTTGCGAAGAAGCGGGATATATTATTGGCATTTTACTATAATTATTGTATGCATCCGCTCCATAGCCTCGAACGGCATCTTGATTTGCTAGACTGTATTATTGAGATGTTATGGGAGATATACCATAGCTTAAGTGATAAGGTGAAGATACAGAGGTTATATGAAATTGTTCCAGAACCTTGGGCCTCAGTTATAAATGAGATCGTACTATGGTCTGACGATGACCTTACATATTTAATTCGAGAAAGTTATGAAACTAACCGCGATTTACAGCGAAACTTTAAGAAGACTATAACCTTATCCATAAATGCTAGCTTACGAGCTACCAATTATAGGCTAGATAAGGGACCGTTGGCTAAGTGCTTTTCGAGAGTTCTAGATGAAAGTTTTCCTGTACCATTACCAGATAGTTCGGAGCAAAGCATGTTAGAGGAAGACCCAGATGAAAACCCCAATGAGGATCTAGAAGAAATAGAAGATTATACACCATCTTATCTAGCTATCTTTATTTTTGGAATAGAATAGGATGTAATACGTATATCTACTTTTGAATGTATGTACCGCACCTCAATATGACTTTTGCTTGTGAAAAAATAATAATGTATATATATGAAGGAAAGTTGCCTTGGCATTTGGATTTTTTTTTTTTTAAAGTTAGTATTACGTTTTGAAATACTTCTAACTGGAGGAATATTTTTCATTTAAAGGAAATGCCTCCAAAGCACAACCACGGCAATGCACCGAAGTCCAATATAAACTTAGGCGGCAGCAATACTAATGTCAATTCTAGTGGTGACGAAATTAATGTAGCAAACTTTGCACGAGAACTGTTGGCCGTAATGCGGGAATTGGGACAACAACAACAGGCACCACCTTTGACTGGACAACGAACACTAGATCAACAAGTACCAATTGATCATCAGGAGCCCAACCAACCAGCTATTCAACCTCAAATAGTACCTAACCCGAGGGATCGAACTGCAATGATAGAGCAATTTCGTAAAATGAACCCTCCATCATTCGAGGGGAGTATGGATCCCTTGGCAGTTGAAGACTGGTTACGAGAACTAGAACGTATCTTTAAATTTATAAGATGCGAAGATGTTGAAAATGTAACATTTTCAGTGTTTATGTTAAAGAAGGGGGCTAGCCATTGTGGGACATGACTACCAGGTCATTAACACCTACTGAAGAACAGGCTATAACTTGGGAGAGGTTTAAGGAACTCGTAGAAGAAAAAATTTTCCCGACAGCTGTAAAAGATCAAAAAGAGATGGAGTTCCTCAGACTCCAACAGGGAACCATAACCCTCGTGGAATATGAACGCAAATTTGAGAAATTATCAAGATTTGCTCCACATCTAGTGAATACGGAAGAAAAGCTGGCTAGAAGGTTCGAGCGTGGGCTTCAACCTTATATTCGTGATATAGTGTCAGTTCTCGAGCTAAACACTTATCGAGAAGTCCTGAAGCGAGCGCAGACTATTTCTTATCAAAGAACTCAAAACGTTGAAAATTCTTACCAAGTTCAAAATTTCTCACGTAAGAGGAAGTGGAACTTTGATAGACAGAATAACGGTAAAAGAAAAGGGAATAATGCACCAAAGAAAGGAAAGACAGAGATAGTAGGAGTTGGTGGTGATAAGCGTTGTCCTAAGTGCGATAGACCTCACAATGGAAAATGTCTATTGGAAAAAAATGTTTGTTTCAAGCGTGGGAAATCAGGACATTTTGCTAAAGAATGCCTCCAAAATCAGACACAGAAGGCTGGAGATGACAAGAAAGGAAAAGCAAGAGTTTTCTCTTTATCCGGGCAAGAAGCAGAGCGAGACCCTAATGTCCTCGCATGTATCGTCTCTGTTTCCAATATGCCTGCATTCGTACTTATAGATTCTGGAGCTACACATTCGTTCATTTCTTCTTTGTTTATTGCAAAGTCTAAAGTAAAATGTGAATTCCTTCCGTATGCCTTAGAAATCTCTCTTCCATCTGGAAAGATACTTGTGGCTGACCAAATAGCTTGAAATCTTAAGATGAGAATTGATGGTAGATGTATAGCGGTAGATCTAATTATGTTAACGATGAAAGACTTTGATGTTATCCTTGGTATGGACTGGTTGTCTAAAAATAATGCAACTATTCAATGTACTGAGAGAATGGTGATTTTTCGAAGACTGGGCGAGAAAGAGTTTCGCTTTGTGGGAACTGAGGCAAATACCTTGTCTCCTATAGTGTCAACAACTCAGGTTGAAAGGACGCCAAAAAAGGAATTAGGTCAAAGATTTCTAGTATCGATGACCAACATTAAACAAGATAAGTTGTCAGCTGAGGATGTTCGAATAGTTCAGCATTATAAAGATGTTTTTCCAGAAGATCTTCTAGGTGTACCACCAGACAGGCAAGTAGAGTTTACCATCGACTTAGTACTAGGAGCAGCACCTATTTTAAAGGCTCCATATCGTATGGCACCGTTGGAACTGCAAGAGTTGAAGGTACAGTTAAAGGAGTTTCTTAATAAGGGTTTCATTAGACCAAGTGTATCATCTTGGGGTGCACCTGTGTTATTTGTGAAAAAGAAAGATGGAACAATGAGGTTGTGCATTGACTATCGAGAATTGAATTGCCTCACTATCAAAAACAAATATCCACTTCCAAGAATAGAAGATTTGTTTGACCAGCTTAAGGGGGCTACAGTATTTTCAAAGATCGATTTAAGATCAGGATATCATCAATTGAAAATTAAGCCAGATGATATCCCTAAGACGACTTTTAGGATGCGTTATGGGCATTATGAATTTTTGGTGATGCCTTTTGGATTAACTAATGCCCCGACAGTATTTATGGATCTAATGAACAGAGTATTCCATAAATACTTAGACCAATTTATCATAGTTTTTATTGATGACATCTTAATCTATTCGAAGAGTAATGAGAAACACGAGAAACATCTCACGATTGTCTTGGAAACTCTAAGAAAAGAGAAGCTTTATGCCAAATTCAAGAAATGTGAATTTTGGTCGGATAAAATAAGTTTTCTGGGGCACGTAATCACAGCACAAGGAATTGAAGTAGACCCAACCAAAGTGGAAGCAGTAAATAATTGGGTAAGACCAACCAATGTTAAAGAGATACGCAGCTTCTTGGGATTGGCTGGTTACTATAGAAGATTTATCGAGGGATTTTCTAAAATAGCAGGACCATTGACCCAGTTGACTCGAAAAGGGATAAAATTTTAATGGACAAAGAAATGTGAACAGAGCTTCCAAGAGTTGAAACGAAAATTAGTCACAACTCCAGTGTTAACAATACCTGACGGACCAGAAGGATTCATTACATATAGTGATGCTTCAAAATAGGGCATATGATGTGTTCTGATGCAGAAAGGAAATGTGATATCCTACGCTTCCAGACAATTGAAACAATATGAACAAAACTACCCAACCCATGATCTAGAATTGGCTGCGGTAGTTCATGCCATCAAGATATGGCGTCATTACTTATATGGAAATAAGTGTGACATTTATACTGATCATAAGAGTTTGAAGTACTTTTTCACCCAAAAGGAATTAAATATGAGGCAGAGGAGATGGCTAGAGCTAGTAAAGGATTATGATTGCACTATCCTTTACCATCATGGTAAAGCTAATGTAGTAGCAGATGCTCTTAGCAGAAAGGCGGTTGGACAATTAGCAGTACTAATCACTATGCAGGACCAGTTGTTAAAGGATTTCGAAAACTTACATCTAGAAGTAATTGTTCCACCAACCCAAACTATCACCAAGATAGCGGCTCTAACGATTCGACCAACGCTTAGAGATCGAATAAGAGTAGCACAGGATGGTGACTCTTTCCTGCAAAAGATCAAATCCGAAGTTGGTACTAGCAAGCAAAAGGATTTTGAATTAGGCAGTGATAAAACCTTACTCTTTAAGGAAAGGTTGTGTGTGCCTAAAGATGAGGGATTGAGGAAAGAAATTCTTGAAGAAGCACACTTAACTCCATACACTACCCATCTAGGAGGTACAAAAATGTATCGTGATCTAAGGAGTATGTTTTGGTGGAGAAATATGAAACAGTACATAGGTCTTTTTGTCAGGAGGTGCATGACTTGTCAACAAGTGAAAGCTGAACATCAAAGGCCATCTGGATTATTGGAACCATTAACAATTCCACAATGGAAATGGAAGCATATAACTATGGATTTTGTTATGGGTTTTCCAAAATCAGCTAAGGGAAATAATGCTATATGGGTTATAGTGGATCGGTTAACAAAGTTAGCTCATTTCCTACCGGTAAGAATGAATTTTAGTATGGATCAATATGCGCGATTATACATCAAAGAGGTCATCCGTTTGCATGGAATCCCAGCCTCAATTGTATCGGATAGAGATCCAAGATTTACCTCAAAATTTTGAAAAAGTTTGCAAGGAGCCATGGGAAGCAAGTTAAAGTTCAGCACAGATTTTCATCCTCAAAGCGATGGACAATCGGAGTGGACTATACAGACTCTGGAGGATATGCTGCGTGCCCGTGTCCTTGATTTAGGAGGCAGTTGGGAAAGTTATGTACCATTGGTAGAGTTTGCCTATAATAATAGTTATCAAGCTACAATAAAGATGGCACCTTACGAAACTCTCTATGGCAGGAGATGTAGAGCTCCTCTTTATTGGGATGAAGTAGGTGAATGAAGAGTTTTAGGACCCGAAATAATTGAGGAAACTAGTCGAGCAGTTGATAAAATAAGAGCTAGAATCAAGGCAGCCCAGGACCGACAAAAAAGTAATGCTGATAAAAGGAGAAAAGATTGGGCATTTAATGTGGGTGATAGGATTTTCTTAAAAGTGGCACCGATGAAGGGAGTTCTTCGCTTTGGAAAGAAGGGAAAACTTCGACCAAGATTCGTAGGTCATTTTGAAATTTTGCAGAAAGTTGGAAATGCAGCCTATCGAATTGCTCTACCACCAGATTTGTCAGCAATTCATGATGTGTTCCACGTGTCAATACTTTGACAATATGTGCCACATCAAAGTCATATAGTTAATTATCAACCATTGGATATCAAACAAAACATGACTTATGAGAAAAAACCAGTAGCAATATTGGATCGCAGAATCCAACAATTGAGGACAAAGGAAATTCCGTTAGTGGGAGTTCAATGGAGAAACCATAATGTCGAAGAGTCAACTTGGGAAAGAGAAGAGGAAATAAAGATCAAGTATCCAGAACTTTTCAACTAAGTTCAAGGTAATTTCGAGGACGAAATTTTTTAAGGGAGAAAG